GAATGAATGATCTACAGAAGCGCTCCATCCTGCAGCGAGGGTGTTTAAGTCTCTGACTGAAGGAGCTGCTCAGCCCACCACCCACCGTTTCATGCAGAGGGTGGTGGGGGTTGTCCATGATGGCTGTCAGCTTTGCCAACATCCTCCTCTCACCCACCACTACCACAGGCTCCAGAGGACATCCCAGCACAGAGCTTGACCTCCGTATCAGTTTGTCCATCCTATTCCTGTCCCTTTCGGAACATCCAGCCCCCCCAGCAGCAAGTGCTGTTTTTTAAAACCTTTACGGCATCGTCACTTTTGCATCCACAGAAATTTACATGGAATTCAATGGCTAATTACGAGAAATTTACTTGCTCTGCTCTCCATGTTTGTAACTATCATCACCGTTCATTTTTTTGTTTGTTTGTTTGTTTGTTTGTTTGTTTGTTTGTTTGTTTGTTTGTTCTTCTTCCCTGAGAAACTACACCTGAACCAGCCACTCTGTGCATGCTGTGCTGCATAAATTGTACACAATGCACTTCGAAACCCAATCACTGAACTAATTATACGCAACAATTGAAACGTTGGTCTTGTACAGTCCAGAGATTAAACATGAAAAAAACAGATGTGGGGTACCTGCAGTAAATAATGAAGCAGTGAAGCTGCATTGGACAACTGTGTATCTTTATCCTCATTAAAACTAATGAATGTGGACACTGATTGTGACTGGTCCTGTCCTGTGAAGAGCAGCTAAGACTAATTGATGGTCTCCATCTTTACCGTCAGGCATCAGCCCACGTAACTGAACACTTTGAGTCAGTTTTACAGTAGAATAAACAAAAATAATGTGCCTTTTTTTTTTTGCATTTCACCCAGCTGTTGAAGCTCTGTACTTCAAGTGCAAACAATGCAGTGATGTGTTTAACAGTTTCAGATGAATGTGGGACAGGAGTGTTATGAAAGGACACTGGTGATACTGACAGAGGGATGTGATGGATTAGAGTGTCCTGAGGGGGAAGTCCTGCTCCATCAACAAGTAATGAAAAGTAATTTGAACACAGCAGGCAGCTATGAATAACTCCACGATGAGTTCTGGTAACATTGTGTCCAGTGAGAGGTCRTTATTGTCTCGTATGGGAGAAGAAATGGGTGGAAAACATTACGACTGATGATAGCACATTAGTTGTTGTCTTCAGGAGTGATGACAGTCTGTGAAAGTGTCGGACTGAAAATCAATCACAGGCAGAGGCAATATTACACCAAGTCTGTGATCAATTTCACACACACACACACACACACACACACACACACACACACACACACACACACACACACACACACACACACACACACACACACACAAAAAGAGTGTAAAAGAGGAAACWGCACAAAGTGACAGCAAGAGACCAAAAATGTCACATATTTCTTTAATTTTTTTTCATGTAAATGCAATGCAATGCAAAAAAAGTAAAAGTCTAAGAAAAAACAAGTTTCCTCTCAAAGTCAGCCAGTAAACACGYAGCAATCCATCCAAATTTCTGTTCTGCCTACAGTTGCACGGCTCTGTATAGTCTATAATGTAGCTGAGCTAAAATACCAGAGGGAAGAAAGTTAAATGGACTGTGATTATTGTCCTGGAACAGATTGAACAGTCTATAAGGAGGAATGTGAGCTGAATACAATGTCAGCTCATGAGCCCAGGTGCATTTCTTTAGCTGAGAAGAAAGTGAAACGTACAAAAGTGATATAAAGAAGGAGTTTGAAGCTCTAGCTTGAATTTAAACTTTATTTAAAGTCACTTTTTGCTTTTCATCTTCAGTGCAAACAGAACAATTTACAAASTAAATGAGTTTTTTTCTCTATAATTTGTGTGAAACACACTCAAGTTGATTTGCTTTGGATCTCATGTTCCCATTTAAATCAAACTATATGTATAATTGTTATTGAATTATATAAATCAAATTGTATTAATGAAGATAACGTGGCTAATGTGCTGTCATTTTTACTTTACCTCACATGGGACAAATAATAAAATGCAATTTAAGAAAATTAAAGACAAGTTGAGCAATTTTATTGTGACAAATTTGAAAAAAAAATGCTTTCAGAATTCTTGCACAAATTTTGCAGCCTTTTGTTTCTGTAGCACTGCTTCATAAAAACTTTTACTGATATATTACAAAATAAAAAAAGATCACAGGCAAAGACAGGATGACAAAAATATACTCCAAATTTGCTAAACTTGAATCATCTGTTTTGAAATGCATCTAAGTACTGTAATCTGTGGAAGATACAGCTTCAGTCATTCAACAGGAAACCCACACTTCCCACAGAGCAGCTGGGATTATCCTCTGTGCCTCACGGTCACGCTTCAGATTAAAAGCCTGCATTTACTGTCAAAACATGTAACAGCAGAACTAGTGCCTATACGCCAGGCCTTGGTTGCAATTTTAAAAAAAGCTGATGTTATTTGTTTAATGTATTGATTCTTGAATTTGGATGCAAAAATATAACTGCAATTCTGTCAACCATGCTGTCACTTGTTTTTTAAAGTCAGCTTGCAGGTCCTGACAGGACACCCTCAGACACCAAAGAACTCTCAGCCAGGTGGTGACGAGGCTCAAGTCCAGCACTTTCTTTTTGCAGTGCTGCCATGGCTGCGAGAGACCATATGTCTCTTCTTCCTGGAGTCTGTCACAGCTCAGAGCGGCCAAGTCATTAGGCCCATCCCATCGTGTGGGCCATATTACCATTAAGCACTATAGGCAGTGAGTAAAGCAGCGGGATTGTTCGTCTGTGTTGCCTTTGCCTTAGTAAACTATGCTAAAATGACTGCAGGAATGTTCATAAGGTGGTGGTAAGTTATTCATTAGATATGTAAGTTTGCTCTTTTGGTAATTGCACCTAATTTACTGTATTTATACACAAATAATCTGGACCCCTTGGCTGCTCCTTTAGGCACACAACTATGTGCAATCGACAAAAAACAAACCAGTGACTATTAAATTTATTTACATTTCCCCCAGTAAAATACATTTATCACCTTTTTGTTGCACAGTGTTAGTCATTTTAGAAGATTACTTACTTTTGTCAAAACTGATTAACGTATACTGAAATCGTACTTATTTAAACCAAAACATGCACAATAGGTAGACTTCAGGCCCAGACCTCCCTTGCAAAAGAGATCAGTGATCTCAATAGGATTTGTCTGGTAAAATAAAGGTTAATAATACTTTTTTATTTATTTATTTAAGCTACAGTTAGGAACTCGAATTAGACTGACTTTTATTTCACCTGCTTTTATTTGATTG